TGCTTTATGTTTTCTTATGACACTATGCGAGAATCTGCTCTGCTATTTCAGCCTTAAATTGCCAGGATATGCGTGTAATGACGCTCAATCATTCCACAAAGGCGAGAGGAAACTTGTGCCTGGCTTAATGTGACATGTTATGAACTTATACGTCTCCTGTGTGTCTCTACCGTCTTTAGCACGCAACCTTTATCGAAACGAATTCTTATAGTCAATGAATCAATCAATACTTACAGTTTCCTGACCAAACTGCATCCACTCAAAAGCTCTACGAACAGCCTGGCTGTTCGCGGATTCCCTCTCCTATTCTGATCCTGATATGTTCGGATTGGACTACAGGATACTGATTCTCGCCGCATCGATAGTAAGTTTTAATGTGCTTTTCACAGTACCGCTTTTCCGTGTTACAGTATCCCGAGTTGGTACTGTATCAGTATGTACATATGTATGTATGTATGTATGTATGTATATACAGTAGCGGTCAAAAGTCTTCGCCGAAATTGTTTTTCGACTGTAACTTTTTTTCCGCTGAATCAAATCAATTCAAATTTTAATATGTTTTAGAGATATTCCTACTTCACTTAAACGGCATATTTGTTTCGGATTGAGAAGAGTTAAGAATGAAAAAAATCATTTCACTAGAAATTCTCGCGTATGAGCAAATTCCAAGTAGGTTTCAAATTACTCTAGCGAAGCTTACAATTCAACAAAACAATCTTACGCATGATGAATAACACTGGGCAGGTCCAATACTTTGTTAATGATCTTCTGGGTACGCTGAAATACTAACAAGGCCTAAGTAAGGAATCAGTCATTGAATGCACTGTCTACTAGGGCAGCTTCCTCCACTTCTCTTGAAATTTGACGAGTTTCTCGCCCATATTTCCGGCTCTTATTTCCACCAAAGGGTATCCCTATCCTTTCCCATAATGTTCCGACGGCGCTCAGGACATGGGTGTGAATTGTTCCCTTCGTTGAAAGCGCGCCATGCTGGCGAAGCCACTCCTTCACAGTAAAGGTGCGATGCTTTTCTTCGCACTAATGCTAGAAGGCGAGCTCAGTTTTGACCAACTGTCATACATGTGGATAAGAACTCCTTCTAGAACCCAACTGTATAGGCTGCCTTCACATGATTGCGAATACTGCGAAGTTAGTCGGCGGTGAAATGGTCGGGGGCGAAATGGGCTTACGCACACCTAAAGTGGGGATCCCCATAGGGCTACAACGTCCTGCGGACCAACGAGAGTGTATTCAAGATGTTTACCGGCGACTGAAATAGGAATGTGTGCGGTCCTGAGGGAAAACGTTTCGATCCAAGGAATTAACTGCCGTATGTAAAACTTGGCGGAGGCTCGCGTGTGGTAGTCCGTAAAAGAAGTTTTACAACTGCACAGGATTAGAGAAGTGGAGGATGCCGACGTATCAGATAGATTCTGGAAGGAGTTTCGTATCCGCTCGTATGAAACTGTACGTGACTGAGTTCGCCTTCTAGCTATAGAGCGACCAAAAGCATCGCACCTTCACTGTGAAGGATTGGTTTCGACAGCATGGCGCGCTTTCAACGAAGGGAACAATTCACACCAATGACCCGAGCGCCATCGAAACATTATGGGAGAGACTAGGGATACCTTTGGTAGAAATAAGAGCCGGAAATATGGGCGAGAAACTCGTCAAAGTTCAAGAGAAGTGGAGGAAGCTGCCCTTGTAGACACTGCATTCAATGACTGATTCCTTACTTAGGCCTTGTTAGTATTTCAGCGTACCCAGAAGATCATTAACAAAGTATTGGACCTGCCCAGTGTTATTCATCATGCGTAAGATTGTTTTGTTGAATTGTAAGCTTGCTAGAGTAATTTGAAACCTACTTGGAATTTGCTCATACGCGAGAATTTCTAGTGAAATGATTTTTTCCATTCTTAATTCTTTCTCAATCCGAAACAAATATGCCGTTTAAGTGAAGTAGGACTATCTCTAAAACATATTAAAATTTGAATTGATTTGATTCAGCGGAAAAAAAGTTACAGTCGAAAAACAATTTCGGCGAAGACTTTTGACCGCTACTGTACATAGTAATATTTCGTATGGGTTTATTTGTACGCCGTTCGCAAGATTAAATAGAAAAATAAACAAATAAACAAAAAAGCACGTACCTTCTCTTTTTCTCGTTCTCACTAAGCCTAGCAGGAGAAGAGCTACTGCGTTTTGTCTCCTAAAAATTGTTTGCAAATAAGCAGATAAACAAACAGATACCTCTTGTCGTCCTGAAAAAAAACAAACAAATAAATAAGTAAATAGGTGAATAAATAAATAAATATTTCAACACAGCAACAGGCAATTTGATTGTCACTGATCGGAGATCACTCCTTGCAGGTGTCGCATACGTATTCGAATCAGTATCGATAACGATATCATCGGCGAGCCCGATATCGAATGCTTAGACGAGGAGATTCGAATATGGGTGAAGACTCGAAAGGTTTTTGCAGGTCAGTTTTTATAGCTCATTGATTGATTACGTCATATCCAATTCGGATAAAAGTCAAGACAATATTCAGGTCGAATTTATGCCAAAGGAAAAGCGGACGTCGAAGAATGCTATAAAGATGATTTTAGCCGTGAACGCACTAAAAAACCTCATTTTGATGATTTGAAATTCGGTATCTGTCTGTGGGAATGCAGAAGCTTCGCTCGGGTGTAGCCGCCAAGACACTTTCGCTGAATAAGTGGCTATCTGTTTAGTATGTTCGTTTGGAACGTCCAATTATTTTTTAGGTTTATATCGTATTTTTCAATTGAAGCTATTTGTCTTCGCTGCATAATTTGAATTTGATGCGTGTGGCTAGTTTAAGGCCCCGTGCGACATTACGGTATTTTGCCACTGACGCTAAAATAGGAACGGTACAAAGATTCATACACGTCGTATCCGGCGACCAGGTGCGTCTGCACTGCAGACTCCACAACACATATGACGACGGTTCCACAAAACCTCAATATTAATAATGACAGCTGATAAATGATAGCTGTAACTGCTCAAAAATCAAATAATTGAACAACTGCAACCTTGATCATTTCGTTGGCAGAAAATTATTACATTTTGTAGAGACCATCGTCACGGCGTGTTTGCTTAGAGTGTGCATGACCGGGCCACTTAACCGGCCGGAGCCAAAGCGCGTGTGTTAGGCCAAAGCTGATGAATAGCAAATCCCTGCCTAGCCATGCGTGCAGGGCGTGAAAATTTTTTCCAGGGAAAAGCAATGCTTTGCTTTGTGTGATCATCCTAATATGTTTTTATAATATTTTTTAGTGTTACATTTTATTTTTTTTTGCTTAAATATGCGCAGGTTTTCCTTGGGGCGGGGAGCGGGTACCTCGAGCGCACTAATTTGCATAGTCTGCTCAGTGAGCTAGTACCAGCGCTAGTTACTATAAAGAAGAATAAAGAGCCAATATCTTTCCGATGCTCCCTAAGTGCGTGGATATCCAAACGCCGGAGAGTCCCAACTTACACCCTGGAGCCACGCGCCCTATATCTGAGGCGCGGTCTGTCGAAGCGTAGAGACCTTTCAACCCACTTCGCGAACACAAATTTCAAAGTTTTCTTTATGCTTCTTTTCGCTTGCAATTCGATGCCAGGTTTCCACGCTGCATTATGACAGGATTTTCTGTGTCCAATTTGCTTAGGTAAGTGTTCTGCGAAAATTTCACGAGCACTTCCACGGCTGCCGAAACGTGGAACATGCCGGTCTGCAACGGCGTCAAAAAGACTTGATAGGAGTTCCAATCTACGAAATAACAGGCCTTTCACGCTCAGATTATTCACGTTGCCTGTACCACCCCGAGCGCCCTCTTGTGCTCTCATCGAAAAAAAAAAAACTGCAGGGAAAATATTGTGCACTGCATACCAGCTGTCTATTGAAGAGGTTCTACTAGGTGACCGCTCATCGAAATTCACTCTTTTATGTCGCGGTTGTCGTTGTATTCCAGGCGCTTGTCCCATGTGCCTGTCCATGTATTTTGAAATGCTTTATGGCTCTCGGCTATGATGTATAGATGCATGCGCTGGACGAGGTCTTCAGGTGAATGGTCCAGTAATCAAAGAAACCCTGGGTTATTTTGAATGATTCCACTATCCTTTTTCATCGTTAGGGCGCGCTCTGATGTTAGCAGTTCGACTCTGAGTTCTATATGGGGAAAGTATATTGAAAAGCTGAAGTATATAGAAGCCAAATAATTTGGCCGATTATCAGTCTCTTCTTAAGATGCGCCAAGCATTCAAAATCGTGCTGGAATCTCCAATACGATCGTTCTATTCGATGACTAGCGAGTGCCGGCCGATGTCGAATTCAGTGTATCTTTTCCCTTCTAGCTAACCAAACTTCAAAGTGTGAAAGGCTTGCTTGGCGTGGACGGCAACGTAATATCCGGGATTTGATCTCACGCTTCGCTAACTGCCAAACAGCGCAACTTGCCGCTACAAACACCTCCGCTCACCGGAAGATCGTAGCACTAATTTGTTGACGGCTTCAGCAATGGAAGGGCTGAGAAGGAAGCAAGCTCTCAATTGAAGGCCGGGGGCGGCCCGCTCGTTACCTCGGCAATTCTCTTTAGAGTGACTAGTAAGGGATAAAAGCATAAAGGATAAAGCATTTGCCGTTGATCAATCCCTTTTGGGATGCGGCACGCATTCTACTTCCATTTGTACATTCGTAGTGGCGTTTGAATGCGATGTGGCCTATACAATGACTTGCGGGGGCCAGCCGATGTACAAGTCAGTGTTTTTATCCTCCCAGACAAGTCTGGTACCAATTAACCGACCCCGGAGGGATGGAAGGCTTGGTTGGCCCGGGCGACTCACGACCCAGGATTTGATCCCCGGACCGCTCGCGTGGTGCGCCACTGTAACTACTACACCACTTCGCCCAGATACTAAGATATTCACCCCAAAATCGCTGTAATTAGCAGAGTGAAAACTCCCATCCGGCATAAAAATCGGAAGTCGAGAGAGTAGATCTGGTTCGAATGACCTCATTTCAGGCTGGATCCTCGAGAATGTACTATGGCATCACCATCGTAGGTTTTTCGGTTTCCAATCGGTTAGTGCCAACGTGGAAGATTTCTCAAAAAATTCAAAATTTGAGGGATCTTTTGATTATTGAGCGGCTTTATGGGCCCTTAATTTTTCGTATCTTTCCTATAGGAATTTACTGCGAGCATTTCATGGCGGGTTTCGATTATTTCCAGAATGAAATTTATCTCTGAGAAAGTGGAATGCTGAAAAAGAGCTCGAAATCGGTAGTGTAGAAATACTCTAGGAAATCTCTAAGGCTATATATGCGGGGCACATCATTATACTAAATGAAAATTACCTGCATTTTTTGGAAATTTTTTCTAGTTATCAATTTTCTAGGAGATTCTAGGCATAAACGTATTTTTTCAGCTTTTCATCACTAAAGTCGATCAAGCATTTCATGTGAAATGCTTTTTCGAGGAGGCCAGCCGAGGTCTGACAGCTGAACTTGGTGTGAGGTATGTGGAGCGCTCTGATTTGAAGCTTTTTCTATAGGTATTATCAATGCATGAATTCTTTTAGATTTTTTCCCTCATTGCATATCTTTAACATTATTCACCCTTTTTTACTTAGCAGAGCGACTTTTATCTAAAAATGCCAGAGAAATCTTTGCAGGACCATCTTTTTGTTTTCTATGTTATCCTAACTGAATCAGTTTTTTTTTCTGATGCCACAAGTTTATCGTGCACTTCCTTCTTTGCTTCGAGGGAGCATTAGGTTAGGTTAAAATAGCCGCTCTAGCAGGTTGGAGAGGACCAAAGAAGAGCCAATTGTTTGTCGCTGACAGACTGCTCTTTTCTGTTGTGTTGTTTCTTTATTGGTTTCTAAGTGGGTGCTGCTTTTCTGGAGCCTGGCCCCGCTTTAACTACAGGGGGGGGGGACAAAAACGACTCCCTTCCTCCACATTCAAAAATGCTACAATCACTTTTTGATAACTCAGGCAGATGATCAATATGCTTACAATTATTGGAGAGCACATTTCCAGTCTTTCAGAAAAACTTTACCATAGCCTTCTACAGGGGCGAATTTGTAAGAATCTGTCACGGAAACATGGCGCAAGGTTCTAACTTTCTTCTCAATAGGCTTCAACGCTTTCCCTAGTTCACGCAAGTAACTCCACAATGTCTCATACTTGTACCACTGAGGTTTGGAATTAACGGCCCATCAAAAATGAACTTGATGGCACTACGTAGTGTGGTATCGAAGAACAACATAGAGAAACGCTTGAAAAATCTCCGAAAGGCACCTTATCCTGGTATAGCTTCGATCCGCGTATCGAAATTATGAACAGTAAGGAAGTAATTTGAACGAGTTCACCCCAATTGCTGGCAGCACCTCAACGGAAATCATGCCTTATTCGATTAGGCGTAAGATAGGCAACTAAAACATATAGGTTACTTCATAGGTCTCTTTGACAAGCCTTGGGGCATGAACTCCCTCACCCATCATTCGTTTAGACGCCTGGCTTCCCTTTCCAGTGATCATATTAGCTCTATAGAAAAGCCGATTATCAAACTCACTGCATTAGAGCTGACCTTAGTCTACTACTAAGCAGCGTTGAGTTTCGGGCACTAGGGCCGGACCGCTCCAACTGCTTAACTTTTTCTCATCTGCAACGTGCCAGTATCTGTGCCCTCTCATTCGTTGTGCTCTCTCTTCTTCTTTCTTCTCTACACCCAGTGTCTCATTGCCTTAGCACAGCCGAATTGCAAAATGAGTAGGCCCTTGGTTTCGGCTTTTCTGACGGATTTTTCTTCTCTCGTTGCAATCGTACGTTCTCTTGCAAGAACCCCACCAGTGCGATTGTGTGGTGTGCCTGTTGCAGATAAAGCTGCTGTTCGGGAACTCAGTGGCTCGCTCTCGTTTCGTAGCATGGTTCTAGGCCCCGGGTCGGCGACTGTTCCTTTCTCCACGTGACAATCGAATCGCGCGTTCTGTACAAGCTGGCGTTTTCCTGCCTCTTTTCAGTGAGGATCCATTCGTGGGTGAACTGTCGCTATAATAAATTAGCATTCATTGAATCTGGTAGTAAATTGCTTCCAGTTGAAGATATGAGTAGACTTCATAGTTAAATACCTATTTGAAGTGAAACCGTTATGACCTAGTTGCCAAAGCTAATTGTTGTCCGATATGTCGCTGATCTCACTGGCGGAAATGGCCGAGAACTGGGTTTTTCCGAAGTGAAACCTTACGGGCGGACCGGGCTGCGACTCCAGTTCGTCCGGTGAGTAATCTGGGTCGACTTTAATTATTCACGCTCAGCCAATTATATACGGACGTGGTCGAAGGCGAGAGAGCTGTGGTCACCGGGCGGCCACGGCTACTACGCAGGGACCGAAGCCCCGGTCGTCGACGTCGTCGTTTGTGGATTCTTGCGGTGCGATCGGGCATAATGATACCTCTCTGACGACTGAAACTCTTCATCGTGGACTCCGCCCAGGTTGAACCGGATCCTCGGCTAGTGAACAATACGTAATCGCTCAGCGA